TTTTATAGCACTGTTACTTGTGMAAAGGGGTTTAAAGGAAGCTGCTAGTGCTGTACAGGAAAAGATTCCAGCCATGCACAGACAATGTGTTACCCTGGTGCACTGCAGCCTGGCCATCTCCCCACATACTGTGCTTGTGAATTCTSTTACAAACTCAGTGGGACACAAGCCACATCTTATCACACTTGTATTTAGCCCTGAGCAAATGACAATCACAGCAGACAATCATTCTTGGCCTATCATTCTAACCATTGAAACATTCKAACTGCAAAACAGCCATTGTCTACTGCTCCAGCACACAGTTCTTTTTGTCCAAGAATACGTTYTTCTCAGTAAACAAAAGGTAAATCCCAGCACTGCTAAACTCTGCTGAGTTCCAGAGATCTGAGCTATACCTTATCTGCCTTCTGTGATGCATGGACTTCATCTTTTGAAATAATTTACCAACAATTTCTGTCTAATGCACAGCTGTTTAGTCTGCCAGGGAGGAACCTGTTCCATCACAGATACTGTTGCTAAGGAGGAAACAGTCTTTTAAATTCCCCACRCTGGTCTGAGATTTCTCTGCCTGGACTCTTTGCATGTTGCAGAATACTTTAGGTAGCAGTGGCTGCTGGGACTGTACCTGCTGAATGTAGTTCTTTTCATAGAATTATTATCCCGTTGTAGGGGTCATAAAATTCAAAAGCCRTGCCTAGTTCTTTACTGGAACCTCAGCTGCCAGTTAAAAAAGAGTGGCCTATCTTACCTTCTTCATCCCCAGCTCCCTGTGRCCAGCAMCACWGAACAACGWGSAGGAAAGCTGGGACCCTGGAGAGCRAAGCCTCTTTCCTTCTGTGCAGGGGCACAGAAACAAATTGTGTTCCAGCATGGATACAACTTCTCTCTTCCCCCATCTCCACTTTTGCATGGCTACTACCTTTATCATTGTGAGAGATATTTTTATGTTCCCAGACAAAGACTGAAAATGAAAATTATAATAGGCAGAAATCTCAGAACAAAAACCCCCTCTAACAAACCACTAACCCAACATTTAAAAACTCATTAATGCTTTTGACAAGCATCTTCTGGAATCCTGACAGTATTACCACTCATTATTACATATTAAATCCCAGTAAGTGTTACATGATGATATTTCTAAAGTTCACTAAGCTTTGCTTTCTCTTGGCAGATTTGCAGTTTGATGCGAGGCGGAATAGCGGAGAGGGGAGGGGTGAGAGTAGGACATCGGATTATCGAGATCAATGGGCAGAGTGTTGTGGCCACTGCTCATGAGAAGATAGTACAAGCATTGTCCAATTCAGTGGGAGAGGTAAGGAAACAAATTCTTTGTCAAGGAAGTAAAATAGTTGAAAAAATTTACATTTCAGTTGAAGAGTGTCCACACAGCATTGAAACCACCACTTCAGTAAACTGAGTATGACACTAATAAGAAAAAATTAACAGAACTTTGTTTTAGCAATTCATGATGCACATTCACTGCGTTTTTCCATTAATTTTCAAGGATTCCTGGCACAATTCTGTACCTTCAACTTATTGTCTGAATTAAACCAAGTGATTAAAGGAAGAAATCACTCAGGAATGTTGGCTGTGAAAATCTCCTGGCTTATCACCACAGCATCTGCCATAGAAATGAATTCATATTCAAAAGTCTGAGAGATGCAAATTGATATATATTTTAATAATTTAATTTCCAACTTACCTTGGGAATAAGTTAAGATACACCTCTCTCCAGGACTTCTAGAGAAATCAGCAATGTGTAGTAAGCAAGAACCTTCAGTTCATCAAAATCCCTCCTGAATTTATTGGCAGTCTAATACAGAACCCTGGCCAGATCTCCCACTAGTTCCTTTGACAAAAATCAAAGACAGCTGGTTTCCTTCTGGAAAATGATACTTGACAAATTGTAATAGAGTACRTGCACTTTGTCAGGAGCAAAGCTGAAGATTCCAGCAGCCCCTCCATGTCTTTATGGTCCCTCTTTGCCCTGCAATTTGTCATGTTACAGAGGAAGACAGCATGAAACCTCTTTTTACAGCATGAAGAGAAGATACCAAGGCAGYTGGTGAGGGTCTGTATTATCAGTAAAGTTTCCTTTCCTTCCCCTTGTGTTGACCAATAGTTCTCAGARCTGTAAGTACACAATGCTGATTACCTGAGCCCTGGATGCTATTAATCTGCAAAATCCTTCTAGCAYTGGGGACTGGAGTCCCAGCACTCCTTGAGGAAGGAATTTACAYACAGTAGCCATAAGAGAAACTATTGCACCAAACTCCTGACTGGCATTTAAAAATCAGGTGGTAAAGTCCAAGTTCTGTGTTCAGAAGATCATATTCTAATGAGGTGAAAATATATATGAAACAACATTCCCACAGGGAAGGAAGGCAGAATCCAAATCTAAGTTCAGTTAGTACCAGAACAGCAGAATGAATTTTCAGAGATGTTTGTACTACTTATTTAACGTTTATAACTGGAATAGGATCTAACAACAGAAAGTGTTTAGGTGGCCTTTTAAACTATATGATACTACATCATGTCATTGTCATGAATAAATAACTAAAAAACAACAAAAACAAACAAAAACCCCCAACCCACACCAAAAAGAGCAAGACAGCGAGCTAACATCTTAAAACCAGAGAACTTTGAACTAGAAACTCCAGTAACACATCTGTAGAGCCCAGGACAAAAAAAGCACTTAGACCACAGGGAGAGAGAGATGGGACCTTATGGGTTATTTTAAACTAGTACCAGCTCTGTTAATTTCTGCATAATCAATTGACAGATTCACATGAAGACKATGCCAGCTGCCATGTTCAGGCTTCTAACAGGTCAAGAGACCCCCCTGTACATCTGACATCTTCCATCCAAGCTGAAGCTATCAGAGCCGAAGAGAATTTTGTATTTTGTATGAATGAAAGGCTTGGAAGCTGACCTGAGGACTCCAGAACACGGAACAGACAGGTGTCTCTGCCTTTTCTTCCTTTCTGTTTCTTTGACAAAAAGTGTTGAGAAGGATGGYCAAGGACAATAATCACTGACAAAAATCTTTGTAAACATTCAAGTATTTTGAACATCTTCTAAACTCTTTTCTCATAGAACTTAAAACATATTTATTTGTAACCTTTATGTGGAGTGATGTATGTCTGTCTTGTTTGATAACACAGTGAATGTGAATATTTGATGAATGAGACTGCAGGAAATGGCAAAGAGAAGCAATTAGAGAAAGTTCTGGCTGCCTCAAGTTAAAAAAAAAAAATCCCAGTCCCCTAAAGTGGTCCAATACTGATGACTTTGCATAATTTTAAAACTGGTGCTGAATCGATGGTATTTCAGTGGAAAGGAATGTGTGCAGTTCAAACTTTTAGATTCTACTGTAAAGAAAACCACTGTAGTACTTGGTATTGTTATGACAAGTGTAACCTGTTTGGCAAGGTGTGAACATAAACATGTAACAAGTGTTTCATATGCTAAATAAAGAATAATTGCCACAAGATTAAAATCAAAATATTTATTTAGATACATATTTATTTTTAATGCTTGTGATTTTTATGATTTAACAGAGTTATTTCATGGATAACTTATTGCACAGGTTGTGTAATGTATGTGTTGGGCTGGGGTTCTTTTTTCTTCAATTTTTGCATATTTTTTTGTTCATATTAGCTCAAAATGGGAAAGCCATGCTTACCTGTTTCTGTCTTTTATAAAGCATTCTTATTCCTAAGGCAATGTGTTCTGAATGTAAATTGTTTTTGACAAATAACCTAGCACCATCAGCAGTATTAGAATGTGTGTAGATAAAAAACCTAGTAGTAAAGTTGTATTCCTTATGAGATAAATGTTAATTGGTGTAACTTTGTCTAATTTTTTTCTTTTGGCCAAGGCCTTGAAGAAAATACACTGTGACTTAAGAAGCCTTACCATGCAGTAACTAAAGAGCTTTAGATGACTGTACTTCAAGGAGTAGTGTGTTGCATGCAACTGACCTTAGGAAAGAATTAACCTATCACTAATAAATCTGAAATAAGAAAGGAAGCTTGCTTATTTTGTTTGTTGTGTAACTTTACATAGTAAAAAATTCCAAGTAGATGATCATTTAATTCTTCATCTAAGTGCAGTTGCAAAGGTCACAGATTATTTTTTAAAAGGAAATATTCTCTTGAATTAGRAATTTGTGTATCACTATTACCTTGAGAGTAGAACCTTTCAATTAGCATACCTTGTTGCCACTGGATGTCACTGTAACTTCACATTGATATAGAAGCATGCTATAATTCAAATACATTAAAATGGATGATTCTGTAAACATAAACTACCCATCTTCAGCTAYGTTCCTTTGTGACCTTTTCACAGGATGTCTGCCCAGCTCAGAGTGACACAAATGAAACCAGTGTATGATTAAACCCCAAATGGAAACTAAAGCTACTGACAAGCACTGCTGCAAAAAATTTAAAACCCCGAAACATCAACCTGTGGTAGGTTCTTTATGAGAACCTTCTGTTTAAGGCCTTTCCAATTTCCTCTGAGAAAGCCAGGATGAAGCTTGCACTGGAAGACGTTGCTGGCAGACCTGTGTTCATGCTGGTAATGAAATCAGTGTCAATATTTACTTTTTGATTTATTTTTAGATCAATGTTAAGTAAATCATGAAGAGAGCAGAACCACAATAACATGTTTTAGTAATAAAATTGTCAAAACTATGAATTGGAGTAACAATTATTTTTGAAAACATTCAAGGCTCTGCTAGATAAAAATTCCTCTAATTCCCCATCAGCTGGCATTGGTAAAAAGTTTGTGAAAGATGCTTTTTGGAAATGCAGTATTTCAATCTTCTTCCCTAATGCATCTTTTGGTCTCAATGCTGAGGACTTGAGCATCAGTTCTTGATAGTTCCTTATGCTACTGCAGGAATGAGCTTGTGAGTGTTCAGAACAAAGCAGGAATAAACCACACTGCAGCCAGTACTGGAGTTTAAAAGGGCACCATTGGGAGAGGGAGCAGTTTTAATTGGACAGATCARTTAGTCTGGAATGAAAGACACCAGAAAAGTGGATTAGAAGCAGCACTGTATGTGTGTATGGATCACCTTCGTGTTTCTATCCAAATCAGTAGTTGAAAAAGCAAAGTCCAGAAATACTTTTTATTAAAACACTTGACGATAGTTAAAACACTTTGAGGTACATTAAATAAATACAACTTTTAAGTTGTACAGCCAGTCTCTGTAGGTTTACAATGGTTTTCAAGAAATGCTGGGCAGCATCAGTAGCATTTCTGTAAGTACAGTGAAATAAACGCATTTTCGGTTGGGAAAACACTTGTTATGACTTAACTAATAAATCAATTAAAATTTTGCAAAAATCAAGGCTGAAATTTACATTCAGAAAAACAGGCGTTCTCATCCTGCTGTGGGGAAAAAAGTGGAATTCCAAAGGAAGACACTTTTCCCTGTTCAAGTCATCCACTGCTGAT